GGGGGGCTCACTTCCTCCTTGAAGAAGCATATAAATTTTAGACTCATAGTGAAGCTGAGGGTGCTTGGTCTTCACAGATTCCTGGGAATTACACAAGTTACAATAAAATATTTGGGTGAGAATCATATAATCTGCTGCAATAACTCATATCTTCTAGACTATCTTCGTTCTATTAGTAAATTGTAGCTTCTTGACATGGAGAACTTGTAGAATTTCAAGAAGTTCTAAAGTCCTAAATAAACTTCAAGACATTACAAAGAAACACATTGGTTTCATAATAAAAAGGTGCTGCAAACAATATCATCCCTGTGGTTTTTTAATACTTTCAATCTCCTGTGATTAGAACTCTTTATCTTGCCACTATATCCAACATTCTCATAGAACGATAAAAAACAGTAAGTAAATAACCATAAATCCATATCTTTAAAAAAAATGTTGCTAAAGTATAGCATTGGTAAAGAACGCGGAAAACACACGACAAATTTGTTCCAAGAACATAATTGAACTCAAAGGAAAGTTAAAAACAGAAGAAGAATATGAACAAGCATACCAGCTTGATGGCTACTTCTTCTCCATTTTGTATGTTTACACCTACATCAGTAAAAGCAATCAAATTTAAATTTTTTTATGACAAAAAATTACCTCAACTGCACCCAACAAGGAATTAAATGACGTGAGTACCTAAAAAAAGTTCACCGAATGAACCACTCCCAATTTTCCTTCCAAGCTTAAATTTTCCACCAACAACGTGATCCATGGCAATTGGTTCAATTAATAAATCTCAAATTCCAACAATACCCAAAGAACTCCCAGAGGCTAATTTTTCAACTTCAACAGCTACTTGGGATTAACAAAAAAAAAAAAAAAAACACTAGAATACCGCCTCTGATAAACAAGATTATCACCACAAGTGCCCCAAAAAGTGTAAGCAAATTACAAGTTCACCACACTCGAAACCGATCCCAGAACAAAACGTTCAAGATGTTTTCTCGAACTACATCCTCGAAATAATTGAAACCCCAAATCGAAACCCTAATGCATGGAAGCGCAATTGATTCTCATTGAAGAAATCCGAACAGGAGCAATCAATATCTATTGACATTCGAAAAGCAAGTGTGGTTTTGCTTAATTTTTTTTACTGGGAATGGAACGGCGATGAAGAAGAAAAAGTAGACAAATGGGCGAAATTTGAGGAAGAGAAAGAAAAGAGAAAAGGAGAGAGTTGTATAGAGAGAGAGAGAGAGAGAGAGAGACAATGGATTTCGTGCAAGTGCGTGTTCTTGTGTGTATGTGCGTCAGAGAGAATGGAGGCTATAGAAAAGGAAAACACCCTCGTGCGATTTTATTTTTATTTTATTATTATTTTAATCTTGTAGGTTTTCCAGTAAATTACTCTGAGGTTCCAACTTTTCATAAACGTGACAAAGTATCTCTAAACTTTCATTTGTAGCATTATATCCCGAACTTTTTAACATTTTGCACTTGGTATCCTCAATGTCAGTGTGACATTGTCTAGAAGAGTAACAATGTGAATTCAATAGGAAATTTACTTAATCATGCACAGCGAAAAATAAAATAAATTTTAATTTTTATCAAGAATATGCTTCGTGTTTAGATAAAAATTATACATTTTACGAAATCTACAAACTCTTTTGCCTTTTTTTTTTTTTTGTTCCAAGAACCTTGCTCTTCCATCCATAGTTGTCTAATTGTTCAACCTTCAATAAAAATCTACACAGGGAACAGGATTGAGAAAAAACTAGAGTTTTTTTTCTTGTGCTAACAAGAAGAATGAAAATTCTTTACAAATTAAAAATTCTAGTTGCTTATATATATAAGCCCAAACGGGTTTAGCCCGTTTCTTAATTCGGTCCAATATTTAATGAACACATTTAATAATTCATGGACCATTTAATTAATTGGAGCCTATTAATTATCCAACACTTGTTAATTAATTAATTGGTAAATCTTAATTTTCTAGATCTTCTTTTATGTGTAACCTATTAAGTTCCCAAACATAATGCCTAACAACGTGAAGTATTATTTTGATTTAATCAAAAATCGATAAATTAAAACACCATTTTAATTTATCATCAATTCACATTCGCCGTCTCATATTGAGATCTAGCAATGTGTCAGGACAATATATGTAATGAAAAATGTCATATGGTACGACAAAATCAAATTTGTTCTTTTAGTGTGAAACTATAATCTTTTTGTTAATATGATCCAATCAATTATGAAATATGAAAGTTTGTCAATTTCGATTTTCGATCATATATTTCATTCTATTATTAAGTTAATATAAGTTGAAAAATATTCAATATAATTTGAAAACTCCTTTTCGACTTATGAGTATATATTGGTCAAGGATTTCGTTATCAGCTTAATTGAGTGAAATATAGATCATAATCTCTTACTATCTAAAAGCGACGAATCCTCAATTGGTCATTCACAATCTTCATACCATTCTTGACATACTCGAATTATGCCATATTAGCGGTCTCGACGAAGCAACATCCAACATCATCAAAGTATAACTTCCCTCAAATAAGGTAGTGTGATGACCTCAAGTCAAAGGACCAATTTTACTTTTGAACATTAAGATGAACCACTGACACTCGGATAGTTATCCACGTGGAATCTCCGAGCAAGTCCCCAATGTTTTATTCTATAACAAAATATCAACGTGTTCATTTAAGTGTCAATACACTTTAACTTATGAGATCAGCTACTTACTTGACAAGTAAGAAATATTACACGTGATAGTCTATCCGTAATAGCAATATCCGCATCTCTTTATTACATATTATCACTAACGATTTACTATTCAATCATATGTAATTTGTATCTCACAATCACAATTCCTTGTGATTAACAAATTATCAAAATTTGAATCTACGAACTCTATTATTTAATTTAATTGAATATTAATCAAATAATAAATCTGTCATAGAATTACATCAATTATATATAAAAGTGCTTATGTCCAAAATTGATTGGACCTAAGGTATGACACTTACAAGTTCAACTATCAGCATTTGTATTTGCAATAGAAAAAAGATTGCATATTTTGTTAATAGTATCACATTTTAATTATAATGAAAATCCTTAACTTTCGTCGCATTCTTACATTTAACTTTTAATAAATTAGCACATCTTATCTCTAACATTGGTTTCTATCTAAAGATTCTATTATCGTGGTATTGAGTTTTTGAAATTATTATTCATTCTACTTATAAAATTATTCAAGGAGTAAATAAGCATTTTCATTACTTTCTAATTCTTCATTTTTATTATTATTATTATTTTATTTTTTTGGGTTATTGGGGACAATATATGCTATTTAATAGAGTTTGAGGATAAAAGTGTATATATATATATATATATATATATATATATATATATATATTATTAGACAATTCTATACTTTTAATCACACCTCGTGTGCATATTGTGTGGACATTTCTAAATAGAAAAATGTAGGCAGACGATGATTTCAACCTAGTATCGGTGAAAAATGAAAGTAGAAATGAGCGGTACATCAATTTCATAATTCTGTAGATTTGATAAAACAATAAAGGTCTGTTTGATTGTAAAGATGGAAATAAATTGAATTGAAAACAAATTATAAGGAATTAAATTACTCAGAAATTGTTTTCCTGGGAATTGTAAATTATTGTGTTTGATGTTAACGAAATTGTTTTCACGTGAAAAATGTTAAAATAAAAATATTTTTTGATGTTCGGTTGGTTTTATTTTACATGAAAATTGTCAGTTAAAGGGATAGATTTTACTGGTATTGGAAATAAAATTTATTTCCATTGGCAACAAAAAAAAATCATTTATCTTTTTGTGTTTGTTTGACTTTGTTTTATATGAAATTTGTCAATTAAAGTGATATATTTTTTTTACAATAATTCTTAAAATTTGTTTCCATTGCAAAAAAAACAAAAAAATAAAGAAGACCGTGAACAGTGCCCGGAATATCAATTCCCATCATACACAAAACCATGAAAAATACAATTTTTAAGAAAAGCAAGAACCAAATTCAATGGAAAAAATAAGGTAACAAACACTACAAAATGGGTGGAAAATGAATTCCATTTTCCATGGAATTGACCGCTATCAAACATGGCCTAAGATATGTAACGGTTTCAAGAGCCTCTACGTACGCTTACAAAGTGATAGCAAATGACAGAGATTCAGAATAATTTTATGATTTCAACTATCGTTTACCAGCATCGATGCATTGAAAAATTATCTTAAAGCACATGAAGACCAAGCAGGAGCAATATATAAGCTAGTGTCCTTCCACCCAAGTCCGAGGGTTCCATCTCTTCGAACAAGGCTATAGTCATGAGCAGGAGGGAACATATTGAGTATTAATTGTGCTTGAGCCATGGAGTTTGTGTAAGGATTTTTTAATTAATAGATGGGCTTATATGTGTGAATAATTGTGTATTAAATTAAAGGCTATCGAATTCGGTTAAACCCAATTAAAGTGATCTAATAAGGCTTCGATTTTTGAGATTTAATGTATCCAATTAAAGTGTGAGTTTACATTTGTGTAGAGACTGGGTCCAAGTCCTAATTCTATAATGGGCCGAAATAGGTCAAAGGGCGTTGCTATATAAATACGGTTATGATCCCCAAATCACACGTACGTATTATTCATTCTCTTCAGCATCCCATCACAAAGAAAAAAAGGAGACCGCGTGTAGATTTGGAAGACTATACCGCTAAATTTATTATTGCATTAACCATGTTTGATTCAGGTACGCTTCCATCATACTTATAGATTTTGATGATTTAACATGAAAGATTCGGTGATTTAAAAAAATAAATTATCCTACAAGTGGTATCAGAGCCTTTTCATGTTGAATCATTGAGAATCAAAGGTTTTAATTTGGTTCTTGCAATATTTTATAGAGTTTTCAGATTTGATAATTTAGGATTTATATTTTGTTGAATTTGAAAACTTTTGCGGTATAATTTTCGCTATTTTCATAATTCGGATTAATGGTTGAGAAAATTTCAGATTTGGAATTTCATATTTTGGGCTAAAAGAAAAAATATATATATTTGTTCCGGCAGCCCGACTCTGGCGCCCGGCACTCCTGCTTGTATCGCAGCAACGACGCTACTACAACCAGCAGCGTCGGGGCTGCTGCACCGGTCGACGCTCTCGATTCTGTTCTTGGCTGCGTCGATCAAAAGAAAATATTTTTCTAGGGTTTTTCAATTTTTGGTTGTTGTTTTAGGGATGGGGGCCTCATGTGTAAATTAGATAACTTGAGGCACCTATTTGCAATTAGGGTTAGGATTATAAAATTAAGGTTTCAGTCCCTAACATTTAAGTTATATTCAGATTTAGGCCTTTAAGTTTTGGATTTAATAATTCAGTCCCTAAAAGTTTTAAAATTAATTAATTCGGGTCATTAAAGTTCTGAATTTTATAATTAAAGCCCTCGACTTTAATTACTAATTCAAATTGGCCCCCAAAGTTTATAATTAATTCAAATTGACCCCTAAAGTTTTAAATTTTCAAAATTTGATCCCTAAAGTTTTAATTGGTCAATTTTTGGCCCCTAAAGTTTTAAATTTGTTCTAATTGATCCTCTAAAGTTTTGAATTAATTAATTATGGTTCTTAAAGTTTCAAGTTTATTAATTTCAACCCCTAAAGTTTGGAATTAATTAATTGCCCCCCTTAAAGTTTTGAATTATTAATCCTAAGGCTCCTAAAGTTTAAAACTAATCAAAATATGCAAAATTGGTGATTCTCTTTCTCAAATTTTGATACTAAGGACTCTTTTAAGAGATATAATATTCGAAAGTTGGTTAATTGAAGCAACATGTTGTCAAAGCAACCTCTCTTGTGGAAATTGACTAACTTAGAATATTAAAAGATGTTTGTGCATGTGTTATTCATGGGAATGTTGGTCGGCCCAAAGGAAGGTGAATATTTAGCCAAATACACGTACACCTGTGGTGACAAACGTGTGACAATTATTTAGTTTAATGTGTGATCAATAAATCGGTTCAAAAAAGGTTTGTTGATTGATACATTATTTTATTGTCAATGTTTGATTACTACGCCAAGAGTACCACTTACAAATCAATATCTCTGTCCAAAGACTAGATATTGATGTTGTGCTTGGTATCTTGTGATGGGCCCTACCACTATTTGAGATTTTTATTAGTTGCATATTAAAGAAATTCATGTGAGCTATTCATAATAAGCGTTCTCTAATTCAGTTTCAGGTTCTACTGCTAGTATCTCTGCTAGCATCAAT